CAGTCGCAGGAGCAGCAACAACAGCCACAGCAATCAGCAGCTCCAGCGCTGACCTCACAACAACTGCCAGTTGTCAAAAATGAGCCGGTCTGCACATCGCCGAGTTTCATGCCATCATCCAGCATCCTGGTTTCGTCTGGAGGCCTGCCTCAAAGGATGACCACGGGGTCGCTATCGGCAGCTGCGGAAGGCCCGAGCAGGGAAGCTGCGATTGCCGGCATGACAGTCCTCCGGGTCCTTAATGTGACACGCCAGTGGGTAACCAAGTATCCTCAGGCAAGCCGAACCTCGTTAACCGCATGGTCGATGCGTCTTCTAAACGTTTTATCATTTATTCGTGCTCATTAGGTATACTCCGCGAAACTGCCTACTTATTTTATAGTAGTAAGCATGTTTTATCACCACAACGCTACGACGAAGTCCATGCACATTGCACTCCACGGATTTCTTTAGCATCATGCAGTCACTTATTTTTATACAGTTTTAGTTTACTTAGTTTTTGCATTTATTGGTTTAGTTTAGCTTAATTTAGTCAGTAAAATTTAGTTTTAGTTTAGTTTGTTTTCTTTAGTTTTTAATTTAGTCTAAGTTTGGTTTTTAGTTTAGTTTTAATTCACTTTTAGTTTTCTTTCATTATTAGTTTATTTTAGTTAATTTTACCTCAGATTAGTTAGTTTAGTGTAGTTTTCAATTACTTTAGGTTTGCTTTGTTTTAGCTTTTAGTTTACTTTAGCATTTAGTTAATTTTTTAGTTTTCTTAGTTTAGTATTTAGCTTAATGTACTTTAACTTGGGTTAGGTTGGCATGGTTTAGTTAGTTAATTTTAACTTAAGGTTAAATTAGTTTTAGGTCGTGGCTACTATTTGCGGAGTTCTTTGTTCCCATTGGTGGTATTATTCATATAAATTATCGCGCGCTTTTTTGTTGCCAAACATTAGGGTGTTTATATAATTGTTCGTGTTATTTGCTGCTTTTATATGTTCTATTTTTTGAATTATTTTCTCTTTCCTCTGTTATGCTCCATCCGTATTACAGAATTCGAAGTTTTTCGCTTGCTGTAGTGAGCCCAAACCTAGACTGTTACACATATTTGCTTTCGCCTACTAAAAACAAGTCATAAAAGGATTAGTATAAGAGGTCAAGTAGAAGAGAAACGTCAAACAAGCTACCGTGTGTGAACAGTGGCGTGGAGGAGCCCGCGCGATCGATTAGCAATGAGAATGCGCATATTCGTTTGTGGCGCCCTTGGTAATGCGCTCATCAGCGGAGCACTGAAAACCAATAAAGTTTTAGCAACAACTGACGGAGAAGGCCCTAATCTAGCATTATTTTCGCCTTGTTATCAGGGTTCTACTTAGATTAAAATGGCAAAAAACTGGGTTTGGGAATCTGGAATGAAAGAAGCCTCCACATCCATCTAGATTAGAGAGCCACCGACTTCAAATATACTTAAGCCTTTGGCTTCTACCAAAAGGGTCAGCCTTCAATGATACCTCCTCCAGCTCCGGAGAAGCTGCAGTTTTGTGCACTCGTCCCGAAATAGTGTCTGTCTGGCGCCGGGACTTAGGTCGCCACCGATCGTTTGTAATTCAAGCTACATCCGCCGTGTATGAGACTGTAAGCTTCAGGAGATAGCAGTGGTGTAGCCTAAATACGGGGTGACTTGAGGACAGACACAATTCGCTGGACCAGTAAATATAATTATTTGAAGTTTTGACTTAGCAAAAATCGGGCCAAACTTGCAGGAGAATTCGCATTGTTCTGATTAATCGTCAGAGAACGTGTTCTTCAGCAAATAAGTATTTGTTTAGTATATTCAATCACGACACATTGTGAGTCGTTGCTTGTAAGACTGCCAAATTATGGGATAACTCGGTTTATAAGAGTCCATTTTACAGTGACTGGATAACTGAGAGTCAGGCTGCAATAAGACCTTTATTGAGACTTTTATGACCTTCTAGCTGACGTGAGGTCTCAGTCATCCCAGCCTGCTGCACGTAGTCGGGTTCGACTCGTGTGTGGCGCGCGTTGCGGGGTTGCTGAAACTTGTTAGGCAATGTTCTAATGCCAGCGTCCGACCCTCTTGATATGCTTTCTCCATCGGAGCAAAGTAGAAAACAGAAAAGAGGGAGTGAGTTTGATGCCATGCAAGTCCGTCTCGGTAAAACTGGCTCACATGAAAGTCATTGATGTTGCGCGGGGCACTAGGTTGTCACTAGGTTGCAAGATCGAACGGTCCGTAGTACGTGAGCATTGTTGGTAAAGAGATGGGGAGCTGAAACGGCCAATTCTGGTCTATTAAACGTCATCAGCTTGCCAAGGTAGTGCACCACCCGAGGCTCGAATCCACCACCTTGTTGACTAGAAGTTCCGTATCCGCTACTGCTTTCTGCTTATGTCTCTGCTGATGAATCCGGGTCGGATCTCGAAAAGCCAGGCAAATAGAAGTATTGTTCCAGCGATGGAGTCGTCTTCTCCTCTAGAAGTCAAACGCTCTAACCCGCTAAACCATTGGCTTGTTTACTTGCCAGTTTCCACTAATTTCAATATTCCTTATCATGAGAATGAGCTCAAAGACCAAAGAGAACGAGCGAGTTCCCAAACCGATCGACAAGCATCCATCCACTATGAGGTCTCCCGTGTATGGTTCTTAAGCCCAGGAGCACCGTCCGCTTCCCGCTCGGATAACTCTGTGACCGCTACTCAGCATGACTTGGCCGAACCTGATCCGATACTCTTTTGCACACACACACACACACAAACTCGCACTCCTTCCTACATTTATCATAAATCAGGCTGTTGGTACCTTTTAGCTGGCATGCACTGGACGCAGTTGACCGGCATTATTATTTTGTTTCTTGTTCGCAGGACTTTGAGGATGACCACGAACTTAAGTCCAATATGCAACTTCTGCTGGGCGAACTGTTGCGAAATCCACGTCTGGCTCCCAATAACCAGAAGGTGGCTCTTCAACTCTCACACGAAGTGTTGAATGACCAGCTGGTGGAGTCGAAAGTTGACTTGTCCAAATTGATAACTCCCACCCAGGTGAGACTTTTAATCACACTTTGTATGTATACTTTCTGTTTTGGTAAAGATGCAGTATGCGAGCCCACTCAGGGTCGTTCGGCCTTGGGTTGGGAATGGGTATGGCTGCATATGTGACTTAGGCGGAAGTAATGAATTTATGCATACTTTGCCGGTCCTGCATCACTCCATGGAGCACACGAGATACATCATCGCCCTCTCTCTCTGTGGTCGAAATATCACACATCCTCTTAGAACAAAGCCTTTCAGGTTGAAAACTTGCTGTTTCCCGACGGTTGGTTGGGAAAAGACAGAGAGACGGTTTATGATAACGACCACTTTATTCAAGGCCAACAGAAGCAGCGGATTCCCTATTTCTTCAATTCCAGCTTATTTATGAGGTTATTGAGGGGTCTTAAAGCTATGAAGGTTTAACCCTAACGGCTATGATCTTCCAGGCCCGGTCCCTTGGGAGAGGAGAGAGAAATCTTGGGAAAGGCCAGAGTAGTAGGAACAACATATTGTGTACACAAGAGTTAGGAGAGAGTTGCCACTCGGTTTGGCATGGCGTTCGGTCGTGGGGTCGTCATAGCGGC